GACGCGCCATTCGCTGAGCCTCCTGCCGCACCTCTCGGCCGGGCGGACTGCATTGAGCGCACCCCTCGCTCGTCGCGCCCCCCGCCCGGGCCGCGCGTATAATGCAGCCCCTCGGCCGAGCCGCCGTCGCCCGCTGCTGAAGATGAGTTCGTCACCGAAGCTCCTGTACTACCGCTGACCTCAGCATGCCGTTCCGCGGCCTCGAGTGCCAGCGCGAGCTCCACCGCCTCCTTGTACTGAATTTTCTTTTCAGCGAATATTCTAGCCCGCATCGCGTCACTAGCCAGACCAGATACGAACTGGTCGCGTAAGTTCTCCTCGATGGTCGAGCATGTGGTGCACTTGCCGAAGTTGCAGGTGGCCGCGAGATGTTTTAGCGCCTGTAGATATTCGGTGAGCGACTCGCCAGGCCTTTGGCGCCGCAGACGGAACACGTGCCGCTCCGCGATTTCGGAGCGCTGGGGCTCCAAGTGCTCGGTGACTAGCCGTACCAATTGCTCATACGTCTTGTCTTCCGGGAAAGACGGCGCACACAAATCGCACATTAACGCATACGTTTCTTCACCTACCACCGTTATTAACGTAGGCACCTTCAAATCGTCGCGTATTTCATTTAGTAAAATATATTGATTAACGCGGCGTATATAAGCCGGCCACTGTTTCGAACTTAACGAAAATGCTTCTATTTTACCTATCGGCATTTTGTACACTACAATAATACTAACGACAAAGTATTCTATAACCAAAAAAGAGAAAAAAAAAAATAATTATCCCGCACTCGTCGCCAGTGATACGTCAATAAAACAACGCGGTAGGTAACGAACTCATTTATTAAAGTCGCCGTGCAACACTATAAACACAAATACCTTACATATAATCTTTACGTAGTTATGACACATCATCAAAGACTTCCGACTTCTTCTTGAGGTGGCTCTCCGAGTAACGAAGGTTGGAGTAAGGAAGTTCTACATATAAAGATTTCCGACTGAAAGATAAATTATTAAACCGTATCTATACACATGTATATCTATACAAGCAATAAAATTGGAGCGTATGTTTATAATATGAAAAAAAATCATAATTCACAAACATGATGTATTAGCAATGCTTATAATGGGAAACTAAATTATGAAGTTTTTTCTACTTGTTTGTCTGTCCACGAAGCCGTATTTGATTCAGCTAATCTCGGGAACTGCTTGACTGATTTTGACAGGACTTCCATTGGAAGGCAGCTGATATAATCAGGAATATTACTGTCTACTTCATGACGAAGTCGTGGGCAATTTCTATGAATAACTAGCTGTCGGCTGCGACTCTGTTCGCGCGGGATTAAAAATAGATGTTGGCCGATTCTCAGACCTACTCAATATTCTCACAAAATTTCATGAGGAAAAGAAAAGTCAAGCCGTTTCGGAGGAGTATGGGAACAAAAAATGTGACACGAGAATTTTATATATAAGATATAGTTATTAATCTTACATGTTCAGTGGATAGATATATTAAGAGCACACGTTACTAAACACATTTTATAAAGTGCGAACGGCACAATACAAGCAATATATTGTTCGCAACAACGCATCGCCGGTATTTATTCAGCCACCGCTGTTGCTCTGATTCATTTACGGCATCAGATAGCCGAGTTTATTGAGCATTGTATGGTTACATGAGAGCGATACGCGATTAGCCGATATCGATGTATCGATGTTCGCTTCGTAAATCAATGCTCTTGTGTCGTTGTGGACGTATCCTATTGCTTTTGTATTTTGTTTTATTATTATATAGCGGTTGCCCGCAATTCCATCTATTTAAATTAAAAAAAACTTAATAAATAGCCTATGTGTTCTTCCAGACTATGTTCTATATCTATGGCATATTTCAGCAAGATCCCTTGATCCGTTCCGGAGATATCTTCAAACATCTATCAATCCATCCATCTAAACAATCGCATTTTAAAATTAGTCAAATTAATCTTGTTGTAATAAAGAAGTAAACTCACGAGTTGTATGCGAATAATTGTTTAGAACGTAAATCTAACACCATTGATAGAAAACATTTTAATTCGTCTGGACTAATTGAGGGAAATGAAAACTTTACTAAGGTAAGTCTAATGCGTGTTAAAAACACAAAATATACCAAAATAAGCATTGATGCGTAGACATCAAAAAACCTCATCATTACTATTACCCATTTAAATAAGGTTATTTATTCGTACCTATATATAACTATAACTAAGCATCCTTCCTGAGAAAAGATAACGAATAGCAGTTAATTCGTTTTATTTTAAAAGCAACGTCTTTATGTTGGTAGTAAACGATAGAGAATAGTTCCGGGTTCACTTCGTCGTTAATGTTTGAACCCATGCGAATTAAGGCTCGTACACATAGCTTTGTCCAGTCTTAGAAATATAATAAGAGATGGAATTTACAAATTGATTATAAAGGCTGGCGGAGAAATGGTCGAACTCTCTCATACGAAGGACAACTGTATTTACAATTTTACATGTGATGTATTTTCAAATTGTTATTAATCTACTCGATCAAAAAATGTAACGTTAAAAATTGATTAAGACACACAGATGGAATAAATACGTATTATCCTTAGAGTGACCACACACAAAATGAGTAACGGCTGAGAAATTATGGTTGTTCGAAGTGCTTACATAATTTCTCGTATTTCTTATTTATTTTTAATATTTATCATTAAAAAATAATTCCCATTGCCGACAGATCTTATAAAAAGTTCAGTATGACAGCAATCAGTACTCAAGTGGTGTGACGAAGCGCGACTCGAAACTCATTTATTGCCTGTACCAGCGCCGCGGGATGCTGAGGTAAAAGCCTGTCATTAAAACCTTTTTATGACGCATCGGTATTACCATTACAGGAAAGTAATTCATTATTACCAACCGAGTCATGTGAACACCATTTGGAAGTTAAAAATCTTTTTAAACTCGAATCCAATATCACTTATGTATCTTTCTACATCTACCCAAGTGAAGTTAAAACGGTTTGCCACTTATGAAAAACTAGCTGTCGCCCTCGACTATGACCGCGTGGAATTAAAAAAAAAAACTCAATTAGTAGCCTATGTGTTCTTACGGACTACGTTATACATCTATGCCAAATTTTATCGAGATCTATGCAGCCGTTCTGGAGATACCTTGTAACAAACATCCATCCATCTTAACATTCGCATTTTATAATATTAATATGATAGTAAGATTATTCAGTTTGCTAAGATAAAGTTATTATTCAGTATAAATTTAATCGTATTGAAATTATTATATAAAAAAGTAAATATGTACTCAAAGACGAAAAATAAAGATTAGTAATTAAATTAGTACAGAAAAGGTTGATTTGTTTTGATTATAGTCTGTTATTCATTGTATCAACACTTAAATCGACATTAACTTTTGTAAACGTAATAAAATAAATTTAATTTCGTTAAACATCGTTTAATCTTGTTTTAAGATACAATCAACAAATGTGATAATGAATGGCATATGAATGAGAAATAAGAAATATACAAAATGAATGGAACAAGCGCAAATAATTTGACAAGAACTGCGTTTACCGTCTGCTTTCATTACGGGCAGACATTAATACTAACTGGCAGTCCAATTATGTAGCTTTTGTACGTTAAGAAAATATACTTTTATTTCCAACATTTATTCAACATTTGGGGTTATGTGAGAGTGTTCTTTGAGGATGCAGTCCGTTGCCGGAATTAAACACTCTTTTAATCACACCACACAATTTTAATAGTTCAGAAGGTTAACTAAACAAAACTAAATAATCACAGAAGTAAATCGTAATCCAAACTTTAACACATTTAATAACACGGAAGATGCAGAGATAATTGTTGCATTAGATCAAAGATGGTCGTGACAAGTGATTTTTTAAATGCATTCCGAATCGATGCAAACTTCACGCTAAGCGTTTTCGATGCATCGACTAGAGGGCGTTATAATCATATTAAGTTATCAAAATTTTGTTTATATTTCAAATAATATAATAGAAATAAAAAGTAATATTTTTATGTAATTGTTAATATTAAATTTGTTATTTACTTTTAAATGTAAGAAATAAATAAATGTTTGAATGAATGTGTAAATGTAAGGAACGATAGTATTGATGGATGTAAGTGTGTGGGTGTGCGTTTATTGCAATGTGTGTGTATCCGCCACAACACTCCCCCCCAGAGACCGTGTCTACGGGCGATAATAATCTGGAAAACGAACTGTTCGCCCTGATCGAGTAGTCACTGGAATTGGAGTCGAATGCGGCACAGAATCTGAAATAGGAATGGTTAATGGGGAGGAATCAGGTTCTTTGTTGGATACAAGTATGTAGGCTGGTTTTAAACGGTCTACAGATACTCGTAAGACTTTTCCCTTAACTCTAATCTTGTAAACTTTTT